TCCACATTTGCACTCATACTGGCATATAAGCAACTTCAGGACAGACTACATTTTTTTTTTTCTCATCTAGACATCCCCAATACCTGGTAAGCTCATGGCACATAACAGGTACTAGAAAATATTTAATGAATTCTGAATTAACTTTTTTTTTCATTCTCTTTAAATTATTAAGTGGGTGACCAGTAGCTGGGTGGTCAGAGGTGCTTTGTAATTTCAAAAGCTATGGCTGTTACAGCACAACAAACTCAACGTGGCCTAGGGAGTCACTAGCAGTTTCATGTGATTCCACAGGCAGTTGAGTTCACTGTTCCTATAGGCTGTGCTTGGAAGAGGATGCATTTGGCTGCTTCCAAAAATTTAATGCAGCCAGGCTCTGCTACCACCATGCCTTTCAGTAAGTATGTATCTGTACACTCATCTACTGCTCTGGGAAATCTGGACATGAACAATATTACTCTTTGGCTTACTGAAGGGGGAGAGATTTTACAGACAACCTTAAGTCTCTTTTTCCTTCAAAGGTGTAGGTGGCTAAAAGAGGATGAATAAAATAGTCTTTAAACATTACTTGGGAAAAGGGAACAAGTTAGCTATATTGAAATAAACAAAGATATATGGTCTCTTCCCATTATAATATGCATCTAATTAATGAAACTTGGGACATTAGCATTTTAATAAATTTCAGGGAGCCTATCTCAAAGGAGACAGGAACTCAAAACTGTTCCCACTATTTGATTTTGCCCCATTTTATTTAGAGGAAAGGTGGTGGCAGAAATACAGTATGTTTTACTAAGTAACATATCATGGAATAGATAGGACTTGACTTCCCTGATCTTTTTGTTTGCCTTTTAAGATAACAGAATGTGAGCATTATCAACAAGGTGACCTGGGAATCTCCCTACATGTCTCTTAATCCTTGTCATTGATCATGAAATCCTACATGCAAAAACTGAATGGCAATCTTAAATCCTGAGGGCCTACTTCTTTCAGCAAACCATATCCTTACAGATTAGAGAACGTGTTGCTGTCAACAGTATACTAATGAATATATTAAAGTAAAAAAATTGGTTCAGGGAAGGATCCAAAAAAAGAAACTAGGACAACAGCCTCATAAAGCTATCCTTGTTTCTTTCCACTAAACAAAAAGATATAGGAACTCCACATCTACCTTTTTGAAATTTAAATGCTTTTTAACATTAATATATGAAGTAACTTTTAGCAATATGATCAACTGATTCTTATGCTTTGGGATCATAGGAGCCACTTGTCCACATAGTTCAGGACTTAGCATGCCTCCTTTGCCCCTTTGGCAAACAAAGATCACAGATCCTAGAGAATCGCTGTTCCCTATTCATGTTCCCTTAATAACATGGGAAATGTGGATCCTATACATTAAAGCCATGGAATCTATAGGTTAATTCCATCACCACCTTTAGCTACTAAGGCACCTCAATTTTTCTTTCTGACCAATGTGTTAACAATTTCCTTTTTAAAATGTAAGGAATCACAGGTGGTTAAGGTTTATTTTAACTTTTTATTAGGAAACTAAGGCAAAAATAACAGTATCCCCCAAAATTAAAATACAGAATTCTAATTTCAATTCTAAACAAATATGAAATCTACACCAAGAACTAAAACTCAGAATTTACCAATATTTATAAATAAAGGGAATGGCTAAAATGCATCCACAGTTAAGTATTTCTTCTTCACTAGCCACAGACTTGTATCCCTTTTCCTTCTTCACTTGGACTAGGACATAGAATTCTTTCTCATCTGTCTTCACTACTATAGTCCGTAAGTTTACAGGAGCTTTTGTCTTCCAACACAGTTCTCTGTTCCACAGCAAATATGTCAGCACATTAGAGAAATGAGCACAAGAATGAGTCCATCAAAGATCCTGCCCTAGAGGAGCTAAGATAATAAATAACCAATAATATAAATAATTCTATACAAGGTATAAAGTCACATAGCATGAGTTAAGTATAGATAGAATATAAAACTAGGGAAACTTCAAGGAAAGATTACATTCAGCTAGAGGTTATGAGGAATGTTTCATGGGGATAGCGTCTGAGTTGTGTATGGACCATTCCTTCTTAATGAAAGGCTTCAAAGTGGTCCTGTATACTACAGTCCTGACTGTGGTCTTGGTTTCTGGAAAGTACTCTTTTTCAACACTAATATTTAAAACTCCTTAAGCCTCTATTTCCACAACTGCTCACTTCCTAAAATGATTTGAAAATATTAAGGTTAGTCTATTAAACAGTACTTTGGGAAGTTAAAAGTAATTGTAATTTCAATAAGATTTAGGTCTTTGTTAATTTTGAAACCCCCCCCCAGTCAAATTTTATCTATGAAGCAGAAGATGCCTAATCTATTGAGCCATGATTTCAAACATTCAACTAGGGCACAACCTACTTGCTTTAGATGCTATATCAAATCCATATTTAAACTTATGTGAATAAGAGTGAGATGAAATAAATGGGTGAAAATTCAAAAGGCAAAGGATGAAAAAATAATGGCAACTATGAAATGATACCTATTAACCACAAAATTCCTTGTATGACAATTTTAATGAATTACGAGCCAATGTACATTACAGATCTTAACCTTTAATATTTCTTCCTTCCCATGTAAAACCAGATAATTAAAACAGCCTATCTCAAATATGACAGAAGACCATAGTATGAATAGTAGTAATGTTTGCTTCCACATCTGCATGCTTCATTAAAGAACCAAAGAAAATGCTCCCAGTTTCCTAAGGCAACACAGTAAAATTCAATGTTTTTTCTGATCATTGTTGCATCTGAAATACAACAAATATTACTTTGCCTTTTAATAGCACTTTTCTACATAACACAACACTTTCCCATTATTATTATTATTTTTAATCTTCAATATCCTTGTGAGGTAGTGAAGGGAGGGAGCAAGAATTTTCTGTTTTGCAGATGAGAAAACTCTAGGTGAACTTTTAGATCAATTGTTCTCAACTTTGGTGGCATTCTGAAATCACCAGGAAGTTTTTAAAGATCCTATGATCAGGTTACATATCACAAACCAACATCAGAATCATAGGGCATGGACCCCAAGCCTAAGTATTTTAACACACTCTAAAGTGATTCCAGAGTACAGCCGAAGTAGAGGACCATTGATTGAAGGTGATTTACACACCATCTTTAGGTGCAACCGTCTTCTATGTAAATGCTCTCTGTGCACCAATGAAAAAGAGATTTCCTGAACCTTGAACAGTTTGTATTCATAATCTGGACAGCCACTATTGGTCTCTAGTAACAAATTCATTTCTCAGGCTATAAATGAAGCCTATTCATTCCCCTTATGTTCATGCACTTAGGAACTTCTCTTTTATAAAATCTGCAAATGAGCTATAAGGGAATTCAAATCTTTGAGATAAGAATAGTTTGTTAAGTAGTTAGGCAATTATTTGATTCCAGGTTCAATTATTTGATTCCAGGTTCATTTATGGAATGAATAACCTTGTGTTACCATGTGTTTCTGTTTTCCAGTCAGCACCTTCAAAACTTTGTTGCAAATGAATGTTTACTTACAGGACAAAACAGAAGTTATAAACAAAACTCTCAGCAAAAGCTCTTGGAATTGGCCTTATCACAACCTGAAAATTCAACAAGTACTTAAAGGACTTTACCACTTTCTAATTAGTCAGTCTTCAACCTGAACCAGTTCTTGTCTTTAATCAAGTTTTACACTTCATCAAACTGAGTTGTGCTATACCGAGTAATGAATTTCTGTGTTAGCCATACTCTCTAATAAATTTAACATAGAACTGCAGTTTTTATAATGAAGTTTCTTCTTGACACAGCTATCAAAAAGAATCTTCAACAAATTTCACTTTTTCAAACAACATACCAAATATACAATAAATACCTGTAAACCCTTCAAGTGGCTAACAACAAATCTTTGTTTTATGGCTGTAATCTCCTGCTTCATAGTAGTATTCATAATTTTAACTCGCAAGGAGCAACCCAAGGACCCCAGCAAGCTGCTTTCTGTCCCTAACTTTATTAAAACAAAATATACATATAGCAATAATTTAAAAATTACAAAGATTTCACTTGCTTTCATCAGTTCTTATGTATCGAAACCATACAATTTATACTTCCATACAGAAAGATGTTTGCTTTTCTTCTAACAAAAGAAAAATCTCAGCCCATGTGTGTTGGATTACTTATTCAAGAGAGTGTTAGTGAAGAGATAAGGTTTATCAGTCAAAGTAGGAAATAATGTTAAACTCTTCTCCAATGAAACTTTCAAAATATTGCCAACCTGAAGTTTTCAGCACAAGGTATTGATTTCAAGTCCCATGGGGCAATTACCAATAATGAGATTAAGAATATTCTTAACCCAGGTCCAGGCTGGCACTCTTTGAGATGGGTGAGTAAACATTTTCTTGATAGCCCCAATGAAGAGTTTGAGGCTTAGATTGTTGCATGATGTAAACAATATAAAATTAAAAATTTTTGATAACATCTACAGCATTATAAAGTTAGAAAATAAAAGAACCATTGATCATTTTTTTCCTTAGGGTTTAAGACTAATAGCTCTTATATTTGAGGACTACAAGAGCACATGGCATTGTTCTATGTTATGAGACACATTCTCAAAAGACCATTAAATAAAATCAAATACCAAAAAATGTACATTAGTATTATGTTTTGATGTTTACTGATACATGTATTAATATTTTCCTTCCCTCAATTTTTAGCCAGTGTAGTTGAGGAATCTTTGCTATAATTTTAACGATTAAAAAAAAAAAAAGACTATAACAGCTATGGAAACTGCAAGCCAAAAAAAAAAACAAAATGAGCCGATACAACACCTCTCCTCTTAAAATCCTCTTCTTTGTGGTTACCCAGTTGTCCCCAAATTTTATTCTAATTCTGTATCATGTAGTGGTTTTTAAGGAATTGAACTGGAACAAAGCAACCCCTCTGTCCTTTTTGTTTTGTTTTTTTTTATAGTTTTTTTACACACATATTGTATATACAACTTTTAAAATAGCTGCACAATTTTATTTCTCATTGTTAGAGAAGTGCAGTCCAGGCAGACCATGCTTCTCAATATATTAAAAATATTAAATAAAACCCAACCAGTTTCATACTTTAATAGTCAAGCTGGCTGGAAAAAAAGGGATTGGAGAAAGAACAGGCAGTTGTAACATGGGATCGATCTTTCTTCACAAACACACTACTTAAAAATCTTGCTATTTCCTTTTTTTATCCCTTTTACAGAATCTCTAAAATCTCACCTTTAACGTTGGAAATAACACATTGCTAACTCAGGGACAAATCTGTTGCAACATGCATGTCCAACTGCCCACTCAACCAACTGCAACCCTGAGGATTTTTCTGGCCCAGTGGAAAGAGGAAACGCTAAGATAATCTCTTCTGTAGAGTTGCATCTCCAGTTTACAACTTCATGTGTTTTTCAGGATGTTTCTTGGACATGCACACATGACACTGTCACTTCATGATTTTACTTTCCACAAGTAGATCTCTCCTCCCTCTGTCTTTCATCCAAAGAAAGCCACTGTCATCCATCCAAAGGTTTTCCAAGGTAAACCAAAGTCACTTCTGTGTTGCCATATACAGCAGACACTGCTGGATATAAGCAGACCTTCGGAAGTCCTCTGAAGGCAACCCCCAGGAACTCATATCCACGTTCAAAAGCTAAAGTCTTATCTTCCATATCTAAGATGACTCGAATTCTTTCTCCTATCTGTAAACAGACATCACAAGAAGTTAGAAGAAAATCCACCAAAGACACAGCTAGAAGAAATATGACACAAATTAAGAAGTTGAAAATATCTGAAGAGTATGCATTAAAAAAAAATATATATATATACATATATTTATCTTAAGTTTTCTAGAAAAATATCAAAAGGAAAATGTTCTGCTCAGGAAGAAAAACATCTAGAAGAAAGAACATACATCACTCTCATCAAATGCTTACTTTGATCACTTTTTAAAGACTCACATTAAATCTACATTTAATTACTAACAGCTTAAATGTACAGCTCTCAGGTTTTACTTTCTCTTTGTTTAAAGGCTTTTCCTAAGGAAGTTAACACTACATTCTATAACTTAGTATACTTTACTAAAAAAGTCTTTTAAAACAACTATAGTATGCACATACATTATTCAGCCAAAAAGGAAATGAAATTTTGATATATGCTACATAGATTAAACATGAAAACATTATGCTAAACGAAGTAAGCCAGACACAAAAACATAAATACTATATGATTATATGAAGTACTTAGAATAATCAAATAGGAGCACAAAGTAAAAAGCAGGTTGCCAGGGACTGGGGAGCAAGTGACTATACAGAGATTATATTGGGGAAGAAAGAAAAGTTTTGGGTACAGATACCATAATGGTTATACAACATCATAAATGTATTTAATGCCCTTAAAATGGTTAAAATAATAAATGTTTTATCATAATTTTAAAAATCACTATTAAAAAAAACCACACAGGCTTTAAAGTTTACAAAGCAGTTCCAAAGACAATGGGGAATGTATATAGCCATGAATAATCAAATCTGACTACAGATGGTAAAAATGCAGACTAGGTTTATTAAATAGTCAATTTGTGGTTCACTGCTCTAAAACAGATACTTTTGGTGGTACTGGAACTTGAACTCAGAGCTTCACACTTGCAAAACAGATACTGTCTGATTATTTTGGAGATGGAATCTCAAATTATTTGAGCTCTTGAACTTCAGTCTTCCTGATCTCATCCTGCCAAGTAGCTAGTATTAAGGCACGGGCCACTGGCACCCAGCTAAAACATCTATACTTATTATAAGAGCACCAGCACTGATTGTCAAACAAAACTGTAAACTCAATATATCCAGCTTTTTTTCCATTTGAAAAGTAAAGAAATAAGAATGTCTCATTTTTATAATCTGCATCTACAGAAAGAATGCTGCACCTATATATTTAGGAGGTAGAAGGTTTTTGGGTTGGTGGAGTGGCTCAAGCAATTAGAGGTAGAAAGTTCTAAAATGTATAATCAAAATTCAAAATTAGAAACTTCCAGATTATGATAACACCTGCTGTTGTCATTTACTTTCCTTCATTGTATTTCCTGTCAGAAATAACTGCCAACATTTGCTTTTTTTCCTCACTTTGCCCAACTCACATTCTATTTTACAGACCTAACAACCTCCAAATCATCACCATCACCACTGCCATCAACAAAACACAAACAAAAGCCAGGTATAGTGGCATACATCTGTATTCCCAGCTACGTGAAAAGCCGAAGCAGGAGGATCCCAAATTTGAGGCTAGGTAGGCAAAGATAGTGAGACTCTATCGCAAAAACAAAATACAAACAAAAGAGCTGGAGACAGGGTTCAAGTGGAAAGACTGCTTGCCTAGTATGCTTCAAGGCCCTGGATTCAGTCCCTAGTACCATGAAATGGGCTAATGCTCTGTTGAACAGTTGTTTTTCATTTTATTTTTATTATTCCACGTAATCCTTACATCAATCTTAGGAGCTATTCCTACTACACAGAAGACGAGAGTAAGAAGACAGAACTACTGCTGAAATTCACAAGCTTGCTTCACCTTGGAACATACAGCATGCACACAGTCAAGGAGCAAAAAAGAGCAGAAGTCTTGCTAGCATTAGGTGCCAGTGGGTAAAACTTGGGGATGGCAGAGCAACTAGAAACTGTGAGAAGGAACTCCAGAAGCCAAGAACCAAAGGATGAACCTCAAATCTGAGAATAAATTCTGCCCAAATCCTTGTGAGACCACAGGGATTACGCAGGCAGAGGGACTCCCAGAGAACCAGGCTGAAAAAACACCAAAGCTGCTTGTACTGCTGAATACCATACAGAAGACAAGGTTTATAGTTTGAGTCTAGGCAAGTTAACGTCCTAGCAGTACAAGAAAACCAAGGGCTGGCTCAAGTGGTACAGTGCTGCTTTGCAAGCACTAATTCAAATCCCAGTCCCACCAAAAAAAACCAAATTTTTTAAAAAGGAAAACCTATATGCTTTGGGAAATGAAGCAGTTTCTAGAAAAACAAAAAAATTCCAGAGTTACTACAACATATTACCTACATGTCCAATTTTTAATTTAAAAAAATGAAAAGAAACAGGAAGCTGGGTACGGTGGTGGACACGTGAAATCCCAGCACTGGGAAGGGTGGGGCAGGAAGAATTTGAATTCAAGGCCAGCCTGGACTACATAATGAGACCCAGTTCAAAAAAAACAATAGGGTTGGAAGTGTGACTTAAGCAGTAGAGGTCCTGCCTTTTGAACCCTTGAGTTCAAACCCCAGTACTGCCCTCCCCCCAAAACAGCAAAGTGTGACACTTACTGGGGGGCAGGGTGAGTAGTCAAAAGAAACTGACTCCATATGGGCATTTGGCAAAGACTTCAAAGTGTTGCTATTGAAAATATGTCCAAACATGAGTTAATAAATGGAGAATCTCAATAAAGATAAGGAAACAATGAAAACAAACAAACCAAGTGAAAAGTCTAGCACCAAAGAGTACAATAATGAAAATTCACTGGCCTGGTTCAACAGCAGCTGAGGTGGTAGAAGAAAAAACAATGAACATAAAGACAGCAATGGAAATTACACAATGCAAAGAAAACAGAGAATACACAGAAACTTCAAAGACACAGAGACAAGGATAATATCAAGCAGTCCAACAATTACATTAAATGTAAATGAACTAAACACTCAAACAACAGAGATTATAGCCTGGCGTGGTGGCTCAAACCTGTAATCTCAGCTACTTGAGAGGCAGAGATCAGGAGGACAGAGATTTGAGGCCAACCCTGGCAAAAAGTTTGAAAGACCCCATCTCAACCAATAAAAGCTGGGCATGATGGTACACATCAGTTATCTCAGCTAAAGAGGAAGTGTAAATAGGAGGATCCTGGTCCAGGCATAAAGCAAGACCCCTGGCTGGGCACCAGTGGCTCACACTTATAATCCTACTTGGGAGGCTGAGACCTGAAGTATCAAAGTTCAAGGCCAGTCAGGACAAAAACTCAGTGAGACCCCACCTGCAAAATAACCAGACCAAAATGGACTGGAGGTATAGGCTAAGCACTAGACTGCCTGCTTTGCAAGTACAAAAACCCTAAGTTTAAACCTCAGTCCCACCAAAAAAATTAAAGTGAGACTTTAATCTCAAAAAAAAAAAAAACAAAAACAAAGCAAAAAGGGCTGGGAGCCTGACTCAAACAGTAAAGCATCTGCCTAGCAAGCAGGGCCCTGAGTTCAATTCCCAGTACCACACACACACAAAAAAAAAAAAAAAAAAAACTGAAACTGAGTTAAATAAAAGCAAGATCCAACTACACGCTATCTAAGAGATCCACTTTAAATATAAGTCAGATCGAAACTAAAAGGATAAAGAAACAAAAGTACTCTATAATAATAAAGCTGGAGTGGCTATATTAAAATCAGACAAAACAAAGACAAGGAGTAATGAGTAAAGTCAAAGATCATTTCACAAGGATAAAAGAACTAATCAGGCAGGGAGATAATAACAATTGGAAATGGAGGTGAGGGCGTAGCTCAACTGGTAGAGCATCTGCCTAATAAGCACAAGGTCCTGAGTTCAAACCCCAGTAATACCACCCCCCCAAAAAATAGAATGTGTATGTACCTAATGGCAGAGCCCCTAAATCTATTAAGCAAAACCTGACATAACCAAAAGAAACAGACAAGGTAACAAGCATACTTGGAGACTTCAATACTCCTCTCAATAAAAGAACAGGTAGAAAGAAAAATCAGTAACAATAGAGAAGATTTGAACCTATCAACCAACTTGACCTGTCATTTATAGAATATCCCACCCCATAACAGAATATACATCCTTTTTAAGCACACATGGAATACTCATCAAAATAGAACATATGCTGAGAATAAAACAAGCTTTAATAGATTTAAAAGGACAGCAATTAAATATGCTATGTCTGTGAAAACAAAGATTTAAGGACTTTCACTACAAAAGGTAGTAAGACTTTCTCTTCAATCATAAAACCAGATACCCATCTCCATAGTGTATGCGCAGAGCCTAGAAGTATAATGAGGAAAGACTTCTATGAAAGAAAATCCTGCCAACTTTTGTATATTAGGAAATGTGAAATATTTTTAGTTCTTCTACTTGAATATGCCTGACTTGAGGTCATTACTGAGGCTAGAGACTGCAATATGTGGCTCAGAAATAGGCAAGCTACAGTTTCTTAACACTTCCAATATTTTATCAGATTGCTATATTTTACACTCTGCCAATTCCGTAGTAATAATATGGCTTTCAGAAATAGCAATTATAATTTTGACTCTAGAATCAAATGAGTATTGCTTAAGGCTAAGATGAAAATAATAAAAAATGCATCGGTTTGCCTGAACTTGCCTGTCTACATAAATCACTGAATCCTCAAAGGGCTTTGAATCCAGAAATAAATTAGTAAGTAGCAGAAGGTAAGTATGAATGTGTTTGCACACAGGAGCATTTGCTGGGGTGAGGTATTTAGGAAAAAGAGATTTGGATGTGCCAATCATATAGGAAAAATGACAATTTTGAGCAAGAGATAGCAAAACTATAGCCCCTGAGCCAAATCTGCCCTACAGCCCATAAATAAGATCTTATTGGAGCACAGTCATGTTCATTTATTCACATTATCTACAGCTGATTTCATGCTATAACAACAGAGTTGAAAGTTGTGACAGAGACTACATAGACTGTGAAGCCTAAAATATTTACTCTCTGGCTATATACAGAAAAAGCTTGGCAACCCCTGGTCTAGAGCAAAGATCAAAGGCAAAAATGTATTAGGAAATGAATATGGTGATGTATCATTTATACCATTTATTTAAAATTTACCAAAAAACCCCACGGCTGCTATATAAAAATTTATGTTTAAAACAAATTAATGTGTGGTTTGGCCATGGCCCACACCTGAGAAATACCTAGTTTCTCACCTGGTATTTTGGCGCATTGTTGCATTGTGGAAAACTGCCATTGACTTCTCCATTATGTAGTAGATTATTGTCCACCAGATTCCAGCCCCAGCTCTGGTCATCACTGCCCAGCAATGCCACATAACCTTGACATTGCATGGGGGCTCGTTTCGTGGCAATTCCAATCACTGCCACAGTGCCCAGAGGACCCTCCCACCACACTTCCCATGCATGGCGGCCCTCACTAAAACCAATCTTGGTCCTTGCACCATCAGTGCTCTGAGCGATGGGGTTTCGATGTAAAGTAAAGCCATTCTTCTTAATATACACATTTCTGGAGCAGTCATTAGTGCTGAAGGCATGTTGAAAAGCACGTACCTAAAAAGATGAGAAACAGACCAAAGAAATAGAAAATTGACTTTTCTTAAATATTAAAAGGTACCTAAACTTGAGGCTATATGTTTTTAAGTAACAGTTTCCAAAGAATGGCTAGTTTCAGGATGGGAACCTAACATAAGATACTGCATGACATTAAAAATAACTGCCAAATGGAGCTAGGCACGATGACATATGCCTACAGTCCCACCTACTCAGTAGGCTGAAGTGGAGGGATCACTTGAACCAGGAGTTTGAGATCAGCCTGCAAAACAGAGAGACCGTGTCCAAATACATAAATAAATAAATAACTGCCAACTGTCTCATCACTGACCAAATTCTAAACTGCAGCATAATTTCTCCAAGTAGACTTCTTAATATATCAAAAGATAAATGCAAAAATTCTGGTATTTTAGAGATAATAATGAAATGTCTATGATAAAACAATGACATCTACAAATTGCTTTGAAATATCCAGGGGCAGAGTGGGACAGTGTGTGCGATAACTATTTGTCATGTTTCACTGGGAAAACTTGGTGATGGGTATCATCAAACTATTTTCTCTACTTTTGTTTTTATTTGGTATTTTCTTATCAAAAAGTTAAGAGATGTATAGTTTTCATACTGACAATGCTATTGTCAAAAAGAATTATATTTTGAGGGCTGGTAGAGTGGCTCAAGTGGTACAGTGCCTGCCTAACAAGTATGAGGCTCTGAGTTCAAACCCCAGCACAATAAAAAAAAAAATTATATTTGAGGTTGAGGATATAGCTCAGTGGTAGAGTGCTTGCCTAGCAAGCACAAGGCATTGGCTTGCATTATCAGCACTGCAAAAAGAAGACTTTAAAAAATTGTATTTTATGTAAAATAAATACCTTAGTCACAGCAGCTCTAAATTTATGAAAAAATTTTTTAGCAACCACAAACCACCTTAGGCCGTTAGTTTATTTGCTAGATATTACTCATATACTGAGACAACACCATTTTCATTTTACCAAATCAAATGCCCCAGACAACATCTAAATTCAATTAGTAGGACCTATAAAGTAAGGACAACTCTCAAAAGGAAAGGTTAGTTGATCTTTCAATAATTGCAAATTTGCCAGGTACCGGTGGCTCACACCTGTAATCCTATGTACTTGCGAGGCTGAAATTAGGAGGACTGAGTTTCAAGGCCAGTCCAAAATAACCTGAGCAAAATGAACTGAGTGTGGCTCAAGCAGTAGACCACCTGCTTTGCAAGCTCGAAGCCATAGGTGCAAACCCCAGCTCAACCAAAAAAAATTTTTTTTAATTTAAAAAATTATAAGCTTAAATTTCTCAAATAAAACTGTATAAAAACAACTCCTCTATACAAGTAATAATAATTTCTCATTTTTAATAATTTAAAATTTTTGGTTTGTATGCTATTTTAAAAATCCCTTCTTTAATCAAAATATTCCATAGCAGTAAAAGGCTGAGACCTGTTGCTTTAATTAACCTTGAACCCCAATCAGTATTAGAAAAGACCTTAAAGATTACCTAGTCCAACTCAGGCATAAGAACACAGACCTAAAAGTCATCAGCTAGTGATGCACATCCAGTCCCTGCTATTTACAATTAGCCAGTACTTCACTAGTTCATTGTTGCACTGCAGAGATTTTTTTTAATAACTGTTTCAAGTATCCCATGTTTTCATAAGAAGGCTGTAAAATTGAAATATTCCTCAATTGTTTCCTATCTGCTCCTATTATTATATACTTTTAATCACCTAAAGAACCAGAACATAAGAGTAAATGAGGGAATATGGCTAGGGATACAGCTCAGCGGTAGAGCACTTGCTTAGTATTTGCAAGGACCTGTGTTCAGTCCCCAGTACCACACAAACAAAAAAAACCAAAAAACAAAAAAAGAGTCAATGAGGGAGAAAAATGTCCCAAAACAAGTATTGTCTTAATCACTCAAGTAACTGAATCCCTCATTATAAGATATTTAATATCTCCCTATTCCCCAATTGTTATAAATTCTAGTTGCTTTTTCTCTGTTCTGTCACATTGACACTACTGACTCCTCCTCAAATTTCTACATCTTTCTTCTTTCACTGGACTGATTCTCTACTATATTCTTTTTAGTGACCACCCTTTCTCTGCTCCCTCAAATTTTCCAAACTCAGTCCTTAGCCTTCTTTCCAAAGCTGCCTTTCTAAAACAGCACCTGCACTGCATCTCATGCCAGTCAGTTAATAACCTTTGACAGCTCCATATTTAGTACCACATCAACTAAAAATTCTTCTGCCAGGCTTTCAAAGTCCTCCAGATCGGATTCCTATTTCCTTTCTACCTTCCTTGTGTGTTGTATCATGTGACTGCTTTCCTCTTCCCACACATTTTCTAACACCACCTCCATGAGGCTATTTTTAACCAGGGCCACCAATCCCCTTCATTTCTTACTCCTGAATTCTACCCACCATTGTCTGCCATACCCAACACTTTAATTATATAGACTTTATTTTCTAACAAACCTCTAACTACTTAATTCTAGTAAAAAATATCTTGCAAAAAATATCTACTCTAAATTGATCAATCAGGAAATGCAGAGGACAGACAGCATGTTAGGCAACATCATGGGAAGAAAATCAGCAAAATTTAGACTGACAACAAGTAAATTGTAGGAGTAGGTGGAGGGAGGAGATGGAGAGTTAATCTGTAGACTAACATAGCCTTAAGGAACATATAAAACTGTTTGCCATGGGAGCCTTACACAGGTCTTGATTAAATAAACTACAAATTATAACATTCAACACTCATGAGACAATTGGAAATAGAACACTGCGGTTTTTTTATTTATTTACTTTTTTGAGCAATATTAAGGTTTGAATTCAGGGCTTCACTCTTGCTAGGCAGGTGCTCTAATGCTTTAGCCATGCCCAGCCCTTCTTCCTTTGGTTATCTGGAGATAGGATCTTTCTTTTTGACTAGGCGGGCCTAGACTACAATTCTCCTTCCAGTAATAGCTGGAATGATCGGTACATGCCACTATATTCAGCTTTTTCTGTTGCACACGTGGGCTGACCTGGAACCGCATCCCATTCTCAGACTCCCACATGGTTGCAGTGAGAACACTATGCCCAGCTATAGGTTGACCTGGGGGTCTCTTGAGCGTTTTGCCTGGACTGACCTCGACTGAGGTCCTACTGATCTCCACCTTCCAAGTCATGAGCCAGCAGCACCCAGCTCTACATTTCTTATAATAAATTATTGTAGGAGGTGGCAATTAGGAGGATCTCACTTCCAGGCCAGCCAGGGCAGAAAGCCAACAAGATCATATCTCAACCAATAGCTAGGCGTGGTAGTATGTGCCTGTCATCCTAGCTACAAGGGAAGGCTAAATAGGAAAACTGAAGTCTAGGCCAGTCTGGGGAAAAATGCAAACTCCTTTTCCAAAAATAACTAAAAGCAAATGTCATCCTAGCTACAAGGGAAGGCTAAATAGGAAAACTGAAGTCTAGGCCAGTCTGGGGAAAAATGCAAACTCCTTTTCCAAAAATAACTAAAAGCAAAATGCACTAGAGAAGTAGTTCAAGGTAGAGCGCTTACTTAGCAGGTGCCAGTCCCTAAGTTCAACCTCCAGTACTGCCACACAAACAAAAAAAGTAAAAAATTATTGTAGGAGGTGGCAATTAGGAGGATCTCATTCCGGCAGCAGGGCAGAAAGACAAGAATCATTATCTCAACAATAGCTGCGTGGTAGTAATGTGCCTGTCATCCTAGTACAAGGGAAGGCTAAATAAGGAAACTGAAGTCTAGGCAGTCTGGGGAAAAATGCAAATCCTTTTCAAAATAATAAAAGCAAAATGCACTAGAGAAGTAGTTCAAGGTAGAGCGCTTACTTAGCAGGTGCCAGTCCCTAAGTTCAACCTCCAGTACTGCCACACAAACAAAAAAAGTAAATGTCTTTTTTAGAGATAGTTTCATGATTATATTAAGTGTCTCTTGTTTTTGTTTTGTTTTGTTATTGCTGTTGTTTATAGTACTGGGGATTGAACCCAGAGCCTCATACCTGCTAAGCAAGTGCTCTGCCACTTGAATCTCACCACACCCTCACTCCGTGTGCCCTTGTTTTTTAGAAATCGATGCTGAAAACTTTAGATGAAATGGAAAACTACCAAATTAATAAACAATACAGTTTCTGTCCTAGTCTCATGAATTTTATATCATAGCAAACAGCTTTAAGACCTAGCTTAGGATCTAAATCTGATATTTAGAGAATTATAGTTAGATGTAAAGTATCACTAGAGCAACTGGCATTGAATTTTGAAAAAGAAAACTCCTGGTGCTAGGGGTGTAACTAAGTGTTATAGCATACAAAAGGAGGGAGAAAGAGAGCGAGGCAGGGAGAGGAGAAATGTCTAAAATAGATTGATCAACTTAGCATCTTAATGCTATCCCAAATCTGTTACCAGCCTCCTTAGAAATTCTATTTGACTCTGCCTTCCTTATCCCACTTACCCAGTAGTCAGCTGCCCACTTGTTTTCTGATAGTTCTACCATCAGAAAGAACCATGCTCTTCTCTCCTCTACACTGTATCTCTTTGGTAAAGGCACTAATTTCTATCTTCTTCATCTTACGGCCTAGATTTTTTAAAAACACAACTTTTATTTCGTCATTCTTCTGTTCAATCCTATATGGCTTTTCCAACTACAAACCAAAGCCCAAACAACACAATGAAGGCTGTACTGCAAAAGACCTTCTGTGATATAGCTAGTTCCAGCTTACCTTTACAATCATACTTCTCTTCATTCAATCTAACTAAACTTATGGAGCTGCAACCTCCATAACCTGTCCACCTAAAATCTCTTGGATGTCTCAAAAACACACAATTCTACTCTAATACAACTGAACTTGTTGCCATTCCTCTAAAATCTAGCCCAACTGATCCCTATATTATGTAAGCCAGTTAGCTACTGTCATCCTTAGCACCTCCCTCTTCCTCATCCTTACTTCAAATCTGTTGTCAAATTCTGTAGATTTCACTTCCAAAATCTGCCAATTTTTCTCCATTCCCTTCACTATCTTCTGCCTAATTGATCTATCATATTGCTAAGCGCCCCCCCCCCACACACACCTGTCCTCCACACTAAGGTCAGAAACAACCTATTTAAAGTGCAAAATCTTACCACTAATCCCCTAAATCTCTCTTGCTCATAATTGGAAATGGCTTCACTATAGTTTGGCCCCACCCCAGTCCACATATTCCATTTTATCACATACTAGCATTACCTTTACTTTCTATGCTTCAGCCACACTATCATACTTTCTGTTCCTCATACTCACCAGTTTCTCTCCTAAAAGGTTCTCTCTCATCTTGGCCTATTTATCCTTACCCTTCAGGTCTCAGTTCATGCATCATTTCCTATGAAAAAGTCTTTCCTACCTTCCTACCTAGGTAAAATCCTCCATTACTGACACTTAAAACACCATTTATTTCTCCTTCATAGTATTTACCAGATGCAGTTTTACATATGTACAATTATTTGATATCCATTCCCCCCCACAGACTGTAATCTTCTGAAGGCAAAGCATCCAATAGTTCGTGTTTTTTTTTTTTAATTCACCATGGTGTCTTTATTTTCCTCTTACTGTTCTTCTGTTCAGAGCACTTTCTCTTCATAAAATGTTCAAATGTACCTTATCTTTAAATTTCCCACTCAGCTGGCAAATATCTCCTTTCAGTGAGCTTTTAGTATATCTTTTTATATTTCCAACAGTAGGGAGCAATGTGTACCATGCACTGCAGTTATTTCTATACATTTTTTTCCTCCTTGACTAAACTAAGAACTTCTTACTACAGTACCTAACTCTTGAATAAACCTTTCATCCTCAAGATATTCAGGAAAGGTTCTGCAACACTTGAAAGAACCCATGATTAGTACAAGACTACAATATCTACAGTGCACTGAGTAGAAAGTTAAACAAAATATTAAAAACTTAAGAAAGCTAAAATGTCTCTGGAAGGACACACAAAAAAGAGTAGTATAGGTTGCCACCAAGGGGGTACACTGGGAGGGTGGGGGACAAGCACCAAAGCAAGACATTTTGCTTTTATTTTGCTTCTAGCTTGACTGACATGGACACATTATCTATTACATGTTATATAAACTTTGGCTTCTGAATATATTTATTACAAATATTAAAAAGTCTTAATTTAAACTAAGCAAAAATAATAAACTTTGTAGTTTTTTTTTAATTTTTAAAATTCTGTAAAAATTTTTAACTTTAAAAATTAAAAAAATTGAAGCTGGGTCCTAGTGGCTCACACCTGTAATCCTAGTTTCTTAGGAGGCTCGAGGTTTGAAGCCAGCCCCGGCAAATAGTTCTCAAGACCCTATCTAGAAAAAACCCACAAAAAAGGGGCTGGTGGAGTGGCTCAAGGTGTTTAAGCCCCAGTACCGGAAAAAAAAAAAAAATTAAAACCCACACATCAGGCAAAGCAGTACAAAACTGCAATCTTCTGCACTCACCTAGAAATTACATCTAGTACCCACTGAGTAAATGCTATGCATAAATATTCTCCTGGTAAATAATATTTGATTTAATAGAAAAACTTGATAGTTGCTTTTAATATATGCCATAAACATAAATTATAAATATATATTTCTTATAAAGCAATATTCCTTATCTTATTAAATTAAAACTTGTCTTATATAAGAATAAGCCAGGTGTGATGGTACATGTCTATAATTCTGGGACTGAGGAGGCAGAAGGATTTTGAGTTGGAGGCCAGCCTGGGTTATGGAGTAAGACCCTGTCGCAAAAAAAAGAAATCTATTCCACATGAAAAAATAATTCGCTTCTTACTCTGATTTCAATGGCAGTCTAGCATTAAAAAGAGATGTTTACCACATTCCAGGTCAGACTTTATCTTCTTTCATATATGTTCTTGGGGGAATGCCATACTGATTAGCTATTATCATCCAAATGAACCTATCTTAGCCTAGGGCCCAGAATTCTCTCAGCCCTACCACAATTTGTTGTCTGGCATTTTTATTCTGTATCATGAAGATGCAGGAATATGGACAAGGTAATAGAAAAAAAGGAAGCAGCAAAACGGGAATCAGCAAGTTAGATGACAAACGGAACAGAAGAGACACCATCAAGGTAAACTACAAAAAAGTTTGTAAGGAAGTAACCAGTAATAGCAGCACAAGGCAGTATTTTGGGTTGCATGGTACCTATGGGAGGATGTTCTATTAAAGCCCGTATCTTGAAAGTTAGTTAGCACAACACCTGTGAGCCTGAAACACAGTGGCGGGAACTACAGGGAACTTGGGCAAAAATAAAGAAAATGCGATTATGAATCACAGGTTGGAAAAGTGAGGTGAATGTAAAGATCTCAGAAACGAAATCCATAGTGAAGCAGCCGAGATGATCTAATGTAATAACGGTCTATTTGAAGTCCGGGGAGAAGAATACGATGAGTTAAAAGCTACAATAGTTTGTGGTCTGTCTTTAAGGGCAAAGAGAAAAAGTGATGAAAATGAGTGATGGGAAGCTTTGTAGTCTTTTCAAAAGTGGGGTGGGTTAAGGAGCAAAACTTCAAAGAAAAGAGGATCTTTAAAAGAGGTGAGGGCGGTACTGACTCGGGAGCTTGGACGAAAGCACTAAGAGCGGAGGGGATGGGACAAGGGGGCTGCGGCGGGGCCTGGGGCTTCCTCACCTTGGCCTTGTAGCTGGGCAGGTTGCAGAGGATGTCCGTGCGCAGAGCCTCTTCTGCCAGGCTGCGGGCGCACAGGCTCCGCCACACCTCGCTGTTCTCATCGCCGTGTAGACAGCGATACCAGTGCTTGCACACCAGGGCGCAGCTCCGCAGCTCGGACAGCTCCAGGTAGGAGAACACCAACTCCAGCACCCGGCTGGGCAGCCGCCCCCCGGCCCCCGCGGACCCAGAGCCCGCGCCCGCGCCACCGCCGCTACAACCAGCGCCGCCCGAGGCTGCCCCAGCCCCCGGGCCCGGCGCCGCCATCACCTCACCAGCCGGCCCGAGGGCCGCCGCCTCCGCCGCTTGCCCCCGTCTCTGCGCGGGAGGCCAAGCCTCGCCTCGAGACCGGAGCAGCTCGCTCACCGCCCCTTTCAGTGCCAACCGCCGGCGCCGCCACCACTCCCGCCCCTGCCCGGGGGCGTCCGCTGCACGCCCCGCCTCACTAAGGGCAGACGCACCGGCTGCACGGATGAACCCTCCCCCTCCCCCGCGGCTCAGCGCGGACGCCAAAGCCGCCCGACTCGCCTGGCCTCCCCGCGGCGCGCCCGTGGTTCCGCCATTCGGGTTGAGGGCACGAAGCAAGGGCGCACGCCCAGCTTGCTCCGGTTCCTCTCGGCCCCGGATGTGACTTTTCGGCCGAGGCGCCTCGCGCCCTGCTCTTGACGCGATTGGTCGCCGCTGATGACGTCATTACCAGGCGCCGCGGAGGGACGGGAAGCGCAGGTAGGAGGTTGGTACCGGTGGGCTCTGAGCTGACCTCCAGTACTTTCTCCTCTTTTTGGTCTAGCGGCTCCTCTTCGACTTTCCTGGGCTCCTTTTCCCATGCACTTTCCCTGTGTCACTTGGTCGCTGCTTCGCGTCCATCTTAACGCATGAAACTTCTCTTTCCTTGCTAACCAATTTCTATCTCCACCTTTAGTTTGAGTTGTAACCCCTTTCTTTGCCTTGAGCGGTTGAGGCCGTTTTATTTTGGTCAGGTCGGATCCCCCTTTTTTTTTAACATTTCAGAATAGATTTATTTATTTACATATAGTTGTAAAGGGAGATTCGACATTTATATATGTGCTTACAATATGTCATAATTAGATTCACCGCCTCCATTCTCCTCGTCCCCCCTTTCCGACGAAACTTTTTTGTTTTAACCTTTCACAGCCCTCTTCTGAGTATAGTTGCTTACTAGAACGACTGTCCTACCACGCATTGGAAAAGTAAGGTGGCTAAATCTGAACCTTCCCCTTACTTCCACCTTCCCTCCCCCCTAAAAAAAAGTTTGAATAATCCCAAATGCCGTGTACTAGTACTAGTTAAGTGTCATGGTCTTTTGGACAGAATGTAATATTCTCAGATCCATCTCTTCGCAGGCAGATTAAGGCAATTGTGTTTTAATTCCGTAAACATTCCAGTAGGGAGAGTGACGTGGAGACTATATTGTAGATGGTTTTTGGAAGGGAAAGAATTTCAGCATTATTTGGTCATACTACAGTTTTCAAGGGGCCTCAAAAGTTTTCTGATAGACTGTAAAGAACACTTAGAAAAAGAATAAAAGTAACCACGGTGTGAGCCAGACATTATACTAGGTCTTTTACACCGTCCTTTATATCATTCTCAAGACAACTCCATGAAGTAATTATAATTACAGGGTTCACAGACTCCCTTAGTCAGCTCCAGTTTCTTGCAATCTTTATGTACTAAGAAATCTTGTCGACACCTCTGGCTGTGAGCAATCTATTTCTTCTCTAGTACAAACAAATGAACAGCAACTACTTCCCTATTCTGTTTGTTACTTGCCAATTCTCTTCTCAGTTGTCTTTTTCGCCAGGCTCAATAACCCAAATTCTCTTCATTCTTACCAATATCAATGCCACTGCCTTTCCATCATTTTGATTGCTATTCACCTTCCACACATCAAGTCCAACTTTAGAAAACCCAAAACCTCTGAAGAAAAGTTGACCAACACTGATCTACTTCCTGAATGTTGAGCCAAATTTTGTCTTTTTTAGCCCTTAATGTTTTGTTTTGTTTTGTCTTTAAGTCTGGTCCATCTGAGAAGGGAGGTAAAGAACCATGTAGAATGATCAGCTTGAAAGTCGCAGACTAGGCACTCAGCTGTAGTTCCAGCTGAGTACTCAAAAGGCTAAGGTGGGTTGAGCCCCAAAGTTCAAAATCAACCTGGGCAACCTAGGGAGACCCTGTCTCTTAAAGATAAAAAAAGAATCCTGTGATACTTGAAAGAGACAAGTGGCTAAGTGAAGGTGTGATGGGAGAAGAGTGTTGCTAGTGTAGATCGTTCAGTTATGAACGATGCCTTTATCCTGCATTTCTCACAAAGGTAGCACCTTTGAAGGATCTGATGCTGTAATTCTGGTGCTTATGGATAATGGTTAAATCCCTTCACTGAGGCAACTTTCAGTAACACACTATCCCCCAAGTGGCCCAGGTAGAATTGCAAAGTTAAGATTACCTTTATTACTCTCTTGTTTTCTTTTTTACAAGGCCTTCACCTGCTCCTCTCCTCCTATCCTTACCCCTCTCCCAAGTCCAGTACCCTCACTGCCCTGTAGCTGTTCAGAACTGCTACCTTGTGGGGCCCCACCCTTTCAAAAAATGCTCTCAAAATACCCTACCTTGCCCTCACCCATTCCATGATCTCATTATGTGTTAGAAGGAAGAAATCTATTATCTAATTAAAGGATATGATTAATTGCTGTGCTTGACTGTACAAGCAACACATAGGAAAAGAGAAGCTTGTTGACTTGGTACATGAACATGGATACTGGCAGTTGACCTGTTTCTACTAGGCTTTCCAGTCCTAGTAATAGAAAAACAAGAACAGTGACTAACTAACAGCTCATTTGTAAAAAATTGTTTTAACTCAAATTTAAGCACATTTTCCCTAGTACCATTCTACCACAGCAGTCTGGTTGTTTAATACTATTTATTTATTTATTTATTTTGATATAGGGTCTCACTATTGTGACTCAGGTTGACCTCAAACTCACTATGTAGCCATGCTGGCCTTAAATGCAATCTTGCTGCCTCAGCTTTTCCAGTGCTAATATTATAGACATGTGCTACCATGCCTGGCTTGTTCAACACTTACTTTTTTCATTTTTATTAGCATATATTCATTGTGACAATTGCAAATAGCCTTACATTATACATTGGTTAGATTGTCCCCACCATCTCCCCCCATCCCCTTTCCTCACCCCACTAAAGCAATTACAAGAGGTTTTATTGTTCTATTTCATATATGTATACAAAGCCCATCAACCATATTTTCTCACCTTCATCTCCTCCATTCACTCTCCTCTCTCCCACAAGTACCCCCCCACCCTGTACCTATTTTATAGTTCTTTCATTTTTAATTCCGAAGTTCAAATTGGTTTCTTGAATCTTGTGGGACTAATACAAGAGCTAAAATTGGAAAATTTTATAAGAACTGTATTAAAGTTTATAGTAGTCCTTTTAAGTATAAAGTCCATATATTGCCTAACTTCTTATACTTTGGGGGTAGAACTTAGCTAAATGTATCTTTAACATTGAGTTCATCTCTTTCAGAAAACCTGCTAATTAGTTTTGTCTGCCAGTCAGCATTTATTTGGATCTCCTGTGGATAAATTTGTCATAAAGAAATAGAAGTACAAGAAATCTTTGTCTCATTCTTAGCAAAAATCTGAAATCCCAGCAGGGATTCCAAACCTATATGCACACACAAAAAAAGCCAATCTCAAAACTGTAGAGTTCAGAGTTCTTACTTTAAAGTTGATTCATAGCAAAATTAAAATCCTAATTTAGGCTGGTTGAAGTGGCTCAAGTGGTAGAACCCCATTGCTGCCAAAATAAATAAATGAGTAAAAAAGTTGAAATCCCAGCATAGGAAATTAGGGATCAACACTCTAAAGGTTCATAAAGTTTAAATAAAAAGATTTGTGACTAATTGCCTGTCCAATAGTTAATTTAAATTTTATATTTTAATGGATAACATCTTTATCATATGTCAGTTGACAGTTTCTAAGCCTAAATAATATCAGTACCTTTATTTAAAAGTATATAGAACTGGGTGCCAGTGGCTTGCTCCTGTAATCCTAACTACTTGAGAGGCAAAGATGAGGAAGATCCCCGTTCAAAGCTAATCCTGGGCAAACAGTTCATGAGACCCTATCTGAAAAAAAAAAAAAAAAACAGGACTGGCGGAATGGCTCAGGTGATAGAGCACCTGCCTAACAAGCATGAGGCCCTGAATTCAATCTCCATTACCGCCAAAAAATAAAAAATTTTAAAAAAAGTATATTGGGGCTGGGATGTAGCTCAGTGCCCAGCACCAATAAGTAAATAATTATAATTAAAAAATCATATGTCCTTTCTTTTTTCTTGGTTTATTTGGAACTTTTGGCAAGAATCTTTGTTATGGCAAAAGATTATTTAACTACCATTTTGGTACTTGTCAGCAAAAATCAAACCACCAGGGCTCCCTGTCTTTACTTCCCTCTGAGTCATTTCCTCTGTAACCTCTCCTTTAAATCTTATTTGTCTCCAATCTCTACATAATTAGTTTCCTCTGTGTACTAATTGAGTGCTTCTGCTGAAATGAAAAATGTTTATTTTTTGTCTTTTCCCCATTTTGTCATCTTTATGAGAACTGCTACATCTGATTTTGTGACAATGTTTCTGTTACCTTGATTATTACATAGGTGATTTTTGCAGTCTAATTAGTGATTGTGTGTGTCTAAAGTGGGAGGAAATAAGCAGTTTTGTATTGAGAATGAAAAGTAAGCAGATTGCCAGAGTATTTTAACTATTTTCCCAAACGTTAGTAGGAAATTTATCTCTGAATCATTACATTGGACTAAATTCAAGTACCTTACTTGAAAATAGTAAAGCAACCCAGGCAGTTTTTTTCTTGGTAAATTCTTGCTAGGCTTGTGAAATAGAAAATTTAATTTGTCTGGTTTTTAGAACATGGTCTTCATTATTTAAACATTATGTTGTATCTCATGTATAAATCCTAAGAGCCAACATGGAGCAAATTATTTAACATTTCTGATAAACTCAAGAGGATTTTTTTGTTTGGTTTTGTTTTCATTGGTGCTAAGGATCAAACTCAGGTCCTTATGCTCTACCACTGAGACTCAACTTTATTATCTGTAAAATATGACAAAACTAATTAGAAGGGTTGTTTTAAGAACAGACTTAGATAACCTACTGAATAAGTCTCTGGTGGTTAGACCCAATGGTCTTGTGTTTTAACGGTTCCCCAGGTGGTTATTAGAGTGATATGGGCTCCAAAGTTCTAGCATCCAGCAGGACCACCTGGGGGACTTTTTAAACCCATTGCTAAGCCCCACTCCCAGAGTTCAGATTCAGTAGGTCTTGATAGGGTTCAAAAGCTGGTGTAGTGGCTCAAGTGCTAGAGCACCTGCTTAGCAAGTGTGAGGCCCTGAGTTCAAACCCCAGTACTGCCAAATAACAACAACAAAAAAACCGATGAGTGGATAGTGTTCAATAATTTATATTTCAATAAGTTTCTAGGTGGTGCTAATGCTGCTAGACCATGAATTGCTGTGGGGAAAGACATTTTGAAACCACTGGTGTTGGACTGGTAGAGTGACTCAAGTGGTAAGAGCGCCTGCCTAGCAAGCACAAGGCCCTGAGTTCAAACCTCAGTACCTCAAAAAAAAAAAAAAACATAAAAAACACTGGTATTGTATATATGATGCCACTTTGACCAGCCTAATAATAGTTTCTAAAAAGGAATAATAGGAACTCTTGTTAAGCACTCATTATGTAATAGGACCAGTATATGTACATTACATAAATTATCATTTAATTCCCTCAGTGACCCCATGAAATGAGTGTTGTTATTCCCATTTTATACAGAAGGAAAGTGAATCACAGAGAGGTTCAGTAATTTGTCCAGTCACCTAACTAATACAAACTTGGAGAATCTAGTCACAGACTCTCTCTCTAAAACATTATCCAGATAAAAGATATAATTTGATGATTGTGCACCCTCTCTTTAAAGAATTTTTTTTTTTTGTGGTTCTGGAGTTTGAACTCAGAGTCTCATACTTGCTAGGTAGGTGCTCTACCACTTGAACCACTCCACCAGCCCTCTTTTAAAGAATTTTTCCTATTTTTTGGAGACAGGGTCTCACTATATAGTCCACATTGGCCTTGAATTCTCCATCCTCCTGCCTCACTTTCCTGAATGCTGGGAATGTAAGCATGCACCACTACAGCCGGCCCCTAATTTAAAATATACTTAGTGCTTATTCTTATGTGAGTTCCATATCAATGACTAGAGGACCAGGCTTACCTTGTCCCCAGTGGCAAGCATGTGTCAGCCAGTACCACAACAATAGGTTCAACTAAGCTTTTGTAGACTTGATCTTTAAATGTCATTGTGGTTTTGTTTTGTTTTATTTTTTGAGTGATTTAAGTTTTTTAAAAAATACTTAAAAATTGTTTATTACATTTGTTTCCTGTTATAATTTCTTGTATGAAATGTGATATAGTTCTACTCCTCCTTTGCAGAGTCTTCTGGGCCATTATGGCAGTCAAGTGGACTGGCGGACATTCTTCTCCTGTCCTCTGTCTGAACACAAGTAAAGATGGACTAGTGGCTTCTGGAGCAGAGGGTGGCAGTCTCGTGGCCTGGGGTGAAGATGGGACTCCATTAGGACACATGCAGTTCCAAGGAGCCGATGATGTTACCAGTGTCTTATTTTCTCCCTCCTGCTCCACCAAGCTCTTTGCTTCACATGGAGAAGACATTAGTGTACTGGATGTCAGGTCCCTCAAAGGTTCCTGGACCATTTTCACGTGAATGAAGAAGAAATCAATTGTCTTTCATTGAATGAAACTGAAAACCTGTTGGCTTCTGCTGATGACTCCGGGGCAATCAAAATACTGGACTTGGAAAATAAGAAAGTTAGCAGATCCCTAAAGAGACATTCCAATATCTGTTCCTCTGTAGCCTTTCGACCTCAGAGGCCTCAAAGCCTGGTGTCATGTGGCCTGGACATGCAGGTGATGGTTTTGCAAAGAGTCTTTGGGTAATTTTTGAATGGAATTTGCTAACAAGGGGGTCTGTGTGTGTTTGGGGAATTGAGCCTAAGGCCTTGCTAAGTACATGCTCTACCATTGATCTATATCCTGACCATCAGACTCAAGTTACTGATCAGGCTAAATATATTGCATTTTCTATTCTCTACTAACATCTTACCCAGTTATGAGCCATGGGCTTTACTTCCACATTGAGTGCTAGCCTGATAAAACCTAGTAGATTTTCTTCACAGAGTGATCATTAATTCTTTGTCTTCCTTTCTCTTTCCTTTTAAGATATTTCTAAAACCTTCGGATTCAAATACATGATTCTCAATTTCTGTTTAAACAAAGGGAAGTGCTGAAGGCAACATCGATCCATCTGCTGTCTACAGACGCAGATTGTGGGGGAATTGGGAGTATCTGGCTCTGTTTTTACTTTAAACTCTGGAGTACATTATTTGAAATGTTATGTGTTGGTGACCAGATTCAGAGCATTGTATTCAGTGCTGGGTTTTGAAAGCGTCTTTATAAATCAGCCCAAATCCTGCTCTAGGAAAATAAATATATCTAGAATCATACTATAGAGGGATCTGGAGGTGGTTAAGTATTCCTTTTCTTGAGGGATAGAAATGGCATATGATGGTTTAAATAGCAGAAGTAACAGGGAAGCAGGTTTTGGATGGATGTATGAGTTTTCACATAGCTTGAACTTTCCCATGGTGGGATGTTCTTCCTCTTGAGAAAGTAAATCTCATCACTGAAGTGAGAGTAATCATGACTTGTCTCTGTTGAGCATTTAGTACTTGTCAGTGCTTTACATGTTAGTATTAATCTGGTCATACCCCCCCTCAGTAGTTATTCCTTTTTTTTTTTTTTTGTAGTGCTGGGGTTTGAACTCAGGGTCTACACCTCGAGCTACTCCACCATTTGCTGGGGCTGGCTTCGAACCACAATCCTTCTGATCTCTGCCTCCTGAGTAGGTGGGATTACAGGAGTTTGCTACCTGCACCCAACTGGTCAGGAAACTTAAGTCCAAATTAAGTGTTCACACAACTGCCTGATTGGAACTTAAACCTCAAGTTCCCTGGCTCCAAGGCCTCTGCTTTTTTCTGACACCTGAGGTAGTTAAACAGAGCACCATCAGTAATGTGATAGAAAATTTTCTTAGTTTGGGAACAGGTGACTTCCAGATAGGGGATCATTATTTATTAATGACATATGTGCACTATTTTGGGCACTTAATCGATGTTCTCCATTATATACACTTGTCTTACGGCTGAGACTCTATTTTCCTGTTAACCTTCAAAGGTCTTGCCTTTGCACCTTCTTGGCCTGTAGTCTTTACCACTGCCTATGTATCTTGCATTCTGCTTATAATTTGAAATCCATGAAGCTGATTTGGTTGTTGTCACAGTTGCTGTCCCCCTCTCCCTTAAGCTGCCAGCATTTAGTTGGGAGGAAAAGTTAGAGGGCCTGGCACTGGAATCAGTGAATGTCCTGCAGTGCTGGGACAGCCCCCAACAATAAAGATTGCCTTCCCAAATGTCTATAGAGCCTTTGTTGAAGAATCATTCTATATTTATGTGACACAGTGACCATACAGCTTCTTTTTTTTTTTTTTTTTTTTTAGTTTTTTTTCTTTTTCTTTTATTATTCATATGTGCATACAAGGCTTGGTTCATTTCTCCCCCCTGCCCCCACCCCCTTCCCTTACCACCCACTCCGCCCCCTCCCTCTCCCCCCCATTCAATACCCAGCAGAAACTATTTTGCCCTTATTTCTAATTTTGTTGTAGAGAGAGTATAAGCAATAATAGGAAGGAACAAGGGTTTTTGCTGGTTGAGATAAGGATAGCTATACAGGGCATTGACTCACATTGATTTCCTGTGCGTGGGTGTTACCTTCTAGGTTAATTCTTTTTGATCTAACCTTTTCTCTAGTACCTGTTCCCCTTTTCCTATTGGCCTCAGTTGCTTTAAGGTATCTGCTTTAGTTTCTCTGCATTAAGGGCAACAAATGCTAGCTAGTTTTTTAGGTGTCTTACCTATCCTCACCCCTCCCTTGTGTGCTCTCGCTTTTATCATGTGCTCATAGTCCAATCCCCTTGTTGTGTTTGCCCTTGATCTAATGTCCACATATGAGGGAGAACATACGATTTTTGGTTTTTTGAGCCAGGCTAACCTCACTCAGAATGATGTTCTCCAATTCCATCCATTTACCAGCGAATGATAACATTTCGTTCTTCTTCATGGCTGCATAAAATTCCATTGTGTATAGATACCACATTTTCTTAATCCATTCGTCAGTGCTGGGGCATCTTGGCTGTTTCCATAACTTGGCTATTGTGAATAGTGCCGCAATAAACATGGATGTGCAGGTGCCTCTGGAGTAACAGTCTTTTGGGTATATCCCCAAGTGGTATTGCTGGATCAAATGGTAGATCGATGTCCAGCTTTTTAAGTAGCCTCCAAATTTTTTTCCAGAGTGGTTGTACTAGTCTACATTCCCACCAACAGTGTAAGAGGGTTCCTTTTTCCCCGCATCCTCGCCAACACCTGTTGTTGGTGGTGTTGCTGATGATGGCTATTCTAACAGGGGTGAGGTGGAATCTTAGCGTGGTTTTAATTTGCATTTCCTTTATTGCTAGAGATGGTGAGCATTTTTTCATGTGTTTTCTGGCCATTTGAATTTCTCTTTTGAGAAAGTTCTGTTTAGTTCACGTGCCATTTCTTTATTGGTTCATTAGTTTTGGGAGAATTTAGTTTTTTAAGTTCCTGTATATTCTGGTTATCAGTCCTTTGTCTGATGTATATTGGCAAATATTTTCTCCCACTCTGTGGGTGTTCTCTTCAGTTTAGAGACCATTTCTTTTGATGAACAGAAGCTTTTTAGTTTTATGAGGTCCCATTTATCTATGCTATCTCTTAGTTGCTGTGCTGCTGGGGTTTCATTGAGAAAGTTCTTACCTATACCTACTAACTCCAGAGTATTTCCTACTCTTTCTTGTATCAACTTAAGAGTTTGGGTCTGATATTAAGATCCTTGATCCATTTTGAGTTAATCTTGGTATAGGGTGATATACATGGATCTAGTTTCAGTTTTTTGCAGACTGCTAACCAGTTTTCCCAGCAGTTTTTGTTGAAGAGGCTGCTATTTCTCCATCGTATATTTTTAGCTCCTTTGTCAAAGATAAGTTGCTTATAGTTGTGTGGCTTCATATCTGGATCCTCTATTCTGTTCCACTGGTCTTCATGTCTGTTTTTGTGCCAGTACCATGCTGTTTTTATTGTTATTGCTTTGTAATATAGTTTGAAGTCAGGTATTGTGATACCTCCTGCATTGTTCTTTTGACTGAGTATTGCCTTGGCTATTCGTGGCCTCTTGTGTTTCCATATAAATTTACAGTAGATTTTTCAATCTCTTTAATGAATGTCATTGGAATTTTGATGGGAATTGCATTAAACATGTAGATTACTTTGGGGAGTATCGACATTTTTACTATGTTGATTCTACCAATCCATGAGCAGACCATACAGCTTCTAATTCCTTTTCCACTGCTAGGTGTTGACCAAGCCATTATAAACCTCTGACATTCTCTACCCTTGTTGTTTTGATCTGTGTGTGTGGTTGTGAAGAGGCACCTCACAGCCAGGTGAGTTATAAGTACACAGATTACAGTGTGTCTTTGACTAGTCATTCTTTCATACTTCAGTTATACCAATTTCCTCCTCCTCCTCCTCTTCCTCTTCCTCTCTCCTCTCTCTTTCTCCTCTCTCTCTCTCTCTCTCTCTCTCTTCTCTCATCTCCTCTCTTTTGGTGTTTTGAGACAGGGTCTTACTATCTCACTATGTAGCCCAGGCTGGTCTTGAACTCTCTTTTATCTCAGCCTTGTGAGTGCTAGGATTATGGGTATGTTCTACCACACCTGGCTGCTGTTTTCTTCTTAAAACCTGGTTGTCCCTCATTGCTCTTAACTATAAGACTAGTCAGCCTATACCAGTGGAGGGGGGGGCGGTTGTGTGTGTGTTTGTGATGCTGGGGATTGAACCTTGGGCCTCGGTCATTATAAGCACATGCTCTGCCACAAAGCTATATCCCCAGCCCAAAAACCATATATTTCTATAACATGCACATTGGTTTTTTCCCTTCCCCTCTTATTTCTGCATCTGAAAACAAATAATTCAAAGATTTGCTCTTTTTGTGAAGTTTGTAAGATCTCTAGTACCAGCACTTAGGGAACAGGATAAAGAGATAGCTCTTTATCTGAAAATGAAGCTTTTATATGGAAAGAAAATTTTTTGTAAGAGGAAGTGTTTTTCATCAGGGACACTTTGATATTTTTGAATTCATTTCTAAACACTTGCCACTTGTTACTTTGTCTCCTTTTGACCTATTACATAGAACTGTAAGCTTCAAACTCTTTTATTCTTTTCCTTCAGTATCTCTAGTCTAGTTTTCCTGCTTAAGGTGTTAACTGCTTGAATAGCTGATTGAGAAATTGAGAGTGAAACATTTTGGAGTCTTTGGCAGTTAGGAAGAATTAAGAAGCATAAAGAATGGGCTGGGAAGAGTGCTCGCCTAGCATATGCAAGGCCCTTGGCTCAAACCATAGCACCAAGATGGGAGAAAAGCAGCATAAAGAAATGTCCAGCCAAGGGCTGGTGGCTCACACCTGTAATCCTACCTACTCAGGAGGCAGAGATCATGATGATCTCAGTTCAAAGCCATCCAGGCAAATAGTTCCTGAGACCCTATCTCAAAAAAACCACTCACAAAAAAGGGGCTGGTGGAGTGGCTCAAGGTGTAGACCCTGAGTTCAAGTCCCAGTACCACAAAAAAATTTAAAAAAGAAATGTCCAGTCAGGAACAATCTAGAATCCTCAATACTTGGAAATAACCCTGCAATTGGTAGAATTTGGGATAATTTAACACATTTAGACGATTTAAATAAAATACAAAAATGTATCAGCTACTGAACATGTATACAGTATGTGTTTGAATGTGAGGAGGACAGAAAATATAATCCTTGCATTCTAGGGGATGCACATGAAAGAGTTGGAGTACCTACCAATACAATTAAGCTAGCAGAATCCAGAATGCCAGTTTTTGTTTGTACTTAGATTTTAAAAATAAAAAACGTTATTAGTATCTGATAGTTATACAGGGATTTCATTGTGACATTTTCATATGTACATATATTGTACCCCTCAGATTTTTTAGTATTATCAGTGAGAGTAATCTTTCAGATCTATGCTTTTGACTATCTGAACAAGGTCATGCTTCTCCTAGTGTCCATTAAAAATGTGAGTTATAACTCAGGTATGATAATAGGTGATAAACTAAAGCTATTTCTTTAAAATACTAAAAATATTATCAGGCTGGGCGCTTGTGGCTCACACAAGTAATCCTAGCTACCTGGGAGGCTGAGATCAAGAGGATCACAGTTTGAGGTCAGCACAGGCAGATAGTTTGTGAGACACCATCTCCAAAATAACCAGAGTAAAATGAACTGGAAGTATGGCTCAAAGGTAGCCATACTTGAAGTATGGCTTCAAGCATGAAGCCCTGAGTTCAAATCCCAGTAAAATAAAAAGAAAAAAGAAGCTGGGTACCAGTGGTTCACACCTGTAATCTTAGCTACTCAGGAGACAGAGATCATGAGTATTGCAGTTCAAAACCAACCTGAGTTCATGAGACCCTATCTCGAGAAAAGAAAAAAAATCACAAAATGGGGGGATGCTGGTGTAGTGACTCAAGGTGTAGGCCCTGAGTTCACCACAAAAAAAAGAAAGGAAGGGAGGAAGGGAAGGGATGGAGGAAGGGAGAGAGAGAGACAGGGAGAGAGAAAAGAAAGAAAGAAAAAGAATATTATCCGGTCTGGGAGATACAGCTCAAGTGGTAGAGTGTCTGCCTAGCAATCTTGGCCCAGTACTGCCAAAAAGAAAAAGAATATTATGAAATTGGTTGATATGGAAAAAAGAACGAATCAGACAGATTTTGGACTTGTACTCTTTCCCAGACATTATGCAAAGTATTAGCAAAGATGAATTAAATCTCAAGAAGTTGACAAGCCAATACTATATATCAGTTAATAGATTTGGGACTACACAGGATAGATAGAAATAGGCTGGGAGTTAGGAAAGCCATCTTGGAGGGACAAAGATTTGGGGTTAAGCCCCTGGAATGGGTTAATTAAAAATTTTGTAATCTTCTGGGGGTGCTGGGGGCAGATGGTTTTTTATGATGTGGAGTGTCTCACTATTACCTAGGCTAGCCTCCAGCCTCAGCCTTTCATATAGCTGGAACTACTGGCATACAAAGCCCAGTATATTCTGCAGGAATGAAGAGGATGGAAAGACTTACAGAAACCTCAGCTACTTAACAATTGTACATTTTGTTTTGTTTTTCAACAATTATACTTTAATGGGATCTGTTCATTAAGTTATGTAGGGGACTGAGGACATGGCTCAAGTGGTAGAGCACCTGCCTAGCAAGCACAAGGCCCTGAGTTCAAACCCAACTATTGGAAAAAATAAAAAGTTATTTTGGATCTTGTTTTGTAAATTCTATCTTCCCTTCTGCATTACCATTCTACTGGCATGTTGTGGTAGCATCTGATTTTTTGTTTTTTAGTATTTCTGGGAATGCATCCTATTGATATTCTCAGACTACTTTGATGATTATATTAAAAGCTAAATAAGCACTTAGTTGAGCAGAATGACTAGAGCTCTGTATAACAATGTAACTTCATCTTATTTAAAGGTAATGCTCTGGAATCTTCAGAAAGCCCGCCCACTCTGGATTACAAATTTACAGGAGGATGAAACAGAAGAAATGGAAGATCCACAGTCATCTGGTCAGCTCGTAAACCCTGCCCTAGCATACTCTGTCTCTGTAGCATCATGTGGCAATATTTTTAGTTGTGGTGCAGAAGATGGTAAGGTTCGAATCTTTAGGGTGATGGGAGTCAAGTGTGAGCAAGAACTGGGATTTAAGGGCCACACACTGGGGGTATCCCAAGTTTGCTTTTTGCCAGAATCCTATTTGCTACTTACTGGAGGGAACGATGGGAAGATAATGTTATGGGATGTGAACAGTGAAGTTGAGAAAAAACATAAGAGTCCTACAAAACATCCCCGCAGGAAGAAAACCAAAAGAGCAACTTATACCAAGCAGGGTGGAAACATCAGTGTTTCAATAACAGATGAAGAAGAACATGGCAAAATCTCACCAAAGCTAAATATTGAACATGGAGAAAAAGTGAACTGGCTCTTAGGTACAAAAATAAAGGGACACCAAAATATACTAGTAGCTGATCAAACTAGTTGTATATCTGTGTATCCCTTAAATGAGTTTTAAATCCAATAAAAATATCTGAAGAACTATGGCAAGAATTTTTTAGGTTAAAAACAGTTGTGCTTCATTTAAACTATCATATATGGAATCATACCATTTCATTGTATACATTTTAAGACATTTGAACAACAGAAGGTAATTGGATAGTACTTCATATGGTAAATTACATTAAAATTTGGAGGAAGAAAAATAATATTCATTGAGTGTTGACTCCATTTTACATATATTTAATTTCTGATTCCAAATCAGTAAAGCAAATGATATCCTCCATTTTATTAGCACAAGAATCAAGACTCAGAGATGTTAAGTAGCCTGAGGATCCAGGAAAATTTCAGGCACAATTACTTGCCCAGGAAGGACCTTGGTTGTCTTGTCAAGCCTCCTGCCTTAGTGAAGCCCACATCCTCACCCAAATGCAGGGACTACATTTGTCATAACATTAGTTATTTCTGATCCCAGGATGTCATGGGGAGCCTTACAAAGTTAGAAGAGGAAATCTGTTCTAACTTGTTCTTGGTGAAGCTTTGCTGACAATTACCTTTTGCTATATTTCTAAGAAAAGAGCTCCAGGGTCAAAGATGTAAAATAATTCAGGCCATGATGGGAGAAAGAATAAATTGAAGTTACAAATAATTTCTGAGTATGCAGAAGATAGAAGAAGCTGGTGGAATAGCTCAAGTGTTAGAGCGCCTGCCTAGCAAGTGTGAGGCCCTAAGTTCAAGCCCCAGTATCACAAAAAAAATTATGTCAGGTGCCAGTGGCTCATGCTTGTAATCCTAGCTACTCAGGAGGCAGAGATCAGGAGGATCATGGTTCGAAGCCAGCCCGGACAAATAGTTCTTGAGACCCTATCTCAAAAAAAAACCCATCACAAAAAAGGGCTGGTGGAGTGGCTCAAGGTATAGGCTCTGATTTCAAGCCCCAGTACCCCCCCAAAATTTAATTTCCAGAAGATATAAGAAGCAGAAGATGCAAGAAAAGAATGGAGGCCAAGATAGTGGGTCGCCAGTAAGTTCCTTTTCTTGCAGTGGTAGGGATTGAACTCAGGGCCTAACATGTCAGGCAAGTGCTATACCACTGAGCTGCATCCCCAGCCCAGTGAGTTCCTTTTTTTGTTGTTGTTAGTTCACATCTTTTATTAATCCATCCACACTTACTTGTCTTCTGGTTTATTGAAGCAATTAGACAACAGTAATGTCTGTCAAAATGGCTAGCCATAAAAACTCCAGCACCACATTCTTCTGAAGGACACTCATGATGAAGGCAACTAATTTTGCCCTTTTCATCGACCTTATAATATTTCAGGACAGCCAACTTAACCTTTCTCCTATGCTTATTCTTCCTGGGAATGGTATAAGACTTCCTTTTCCTAGCACCACCACAAAGTCTCAACTTAAGATGAAGGGTAGACTCCTTTTGAATGTTGTAGTCTGACAAAATACGTCCATCTTCCAATTGCTTACCAGTAAAGATCAGTCTTTTGCTGATCAGGAGGCATTCCTTCCTTATCCTGGATCTTGGCCTTGACATATAGTATCTAAAGGTTCACCCTTGAGCATGACAGTCTTCCCCATAAGGGTTTTTACAAAAATCTGCATCTGGGCAGCGGTTCCACTGCAGATGGCGAATCAGAAAACAGTGAGTTCCTTTTCATCACAGCCTAAATTACCGTATTCTCTGCATGCTCTTTCAGCTTTTGCTCATACTGCGTACTACTCCTATATTCAAAGTTATGAAGAGAAATCTGATCATTTACCATTATCCTTACTGGTGAAGAGCTCTTTTAAAGAAGCTCAGTTTTAGTCAGGGCTCTTGTAAGTGACAGAAACCAAATTCAAATTGGTTTAAGAGAATAAGAAGGAATTTATTTTTTATGTAACTGAGAAGTCCAAGAATAGTCAGGTATATATTGCTGAGGTAACTAGCCGATGGGATATTGAGTCCATAAGTGTCCCACCTTGTGGAAAACCTTTCCTAGAGGTGGCAAGAAAAGCCTTATAGCAACATTGAGACTGTAGCCAGCCATTCCTAAAGCAATGACCCTTTTGTTTTGCTTTTTGCTTATGCTAATTTGAACTGGATTTTTAACTTGGAATTTAAAGAGTCCTAACCATTTAGATGGGCAATCAGTCTAGCATGGTGGTGAATGCCTATAATTCCAGCACTAAAAAGGCTGAGGCAGGAGAGTAGAGAGTTGGAGGCCAGCCTGGGCTATAAAAACAGGCAATCAGTAAACACTGTTTAGTGATGTCACTTCAATTTAAGGAAATTGACCCTAAAAAGTTCATTGATAAAGGACTCCAGTCTGAGTACTGACAGAAAACAAGATTCTAATCCCAGTACTGAGCTGGTCTTCTTGGTTATTTTAGGTCTTAGCTTCCTTACTTGAAAATAAGGGAGTTCAGTAGATGTTCCTAAAACGTGTTCTGTGCCATTGTTTTATGAAATGAAAACACCATGATAATATTGTGCTATCTAATGATTCTAATATTTATTAAAATGTCAGAATAATCATGGACAGGCTACCTATAGAGGTTTTTTGGCCACACTGGGATATGAACTCAGGTCCTCATGCTTGCTAGGCAGGCGCTCTACCACTTGAGCCATGCCTCCAATCCTTTTTTTGTGTTGGATACTTTCGAGACAGGGTCTCACAAACTGGTTGCCCAGGCTGGCTTCAAACCATGATCCTTTTGATCCTCTGCCTCCCAAGTAACTAGGATTACAAGATAGCGCCCCATGGTTTTAGGCGTTTTGAAAAATTACCCACATACAGCACCAATTTAACTGGCTGGTAGAGTGGCTCAAATGGTAGAGCACCTGCAGGCAAGTATGAGGCCCTGAATTCAAGCCCAAGTAACACCAAAAAAAGAAAGAAAAAAAAAAGATCTAAGGAACCAAGACAGCAGCCCAGATCACACCTGAAATCCCAGCATTTGGGAGACTGAGGCCTGAGGATTGGGAGTTCTAGGTCAGCCTGGACTATCTCATCTCAAACCAGCAACAGCTGAACTTCAAGTATGAATCCTTGTGGTCACTTGGCTCTCTACATGATGGCTTTTACTTCACAAAAGATGGCATTTTGGGGCTGTATCAGTGACCCATTTCAATCCAGAAACTGAGTGAGCAGTATCTCCGGTCCAAGTACCAAGTCCCTGAAAAAAATCTGATCAGTCAAGTGCCCACACCTGATCCAATCAGTTCTGATCAAGAAGTGTTGTTATCTCATACCAAGAACATTATCGAAGGGGCCCATACCTATGGGTAGGAGGTAGTTGTCAGAGAAGGGGCACTAAATCAACAGCCCTCAACTATTAATATTTTGGTAGTAAATTAGCAGTATGAAAATTCCAAAAAAAAAAAAAAGCCGGGCACCAGTGGCTCACACCTGTAATCCTAGCTACTCAGGAGGCAGGACTCAAGAGGATCACAGTTCGAAGCCAGTCCAGGCAAATAGTTCGCAAGACCCTATCTTGTGGCTGGTGGAGTGGTTCAAGGTGTAGGCCCTGAGTTCAAACTCCAGTACCACAAAAAAAAAAAGAAAGAAAAATTACAAGCAAATTCATTGAGTGTGAACCTTTTTGCTAGTTATACTTTCAAATTTGCCAGCAAGAGGTATCACATTATTTTAATAAGAGTTCAAAAAACATAAGGGTAAAGTAAAAAATATAAAAGAGCCTAAGTCTACAGTGAACTGTGCTTTTTTATTTGAGGTGGGGGGAGGAGAGGGAGGCAGTACTGGGGTTTGAGCTCAGGCTGCCTTCACACTTCCACTCTACCAGTTAAAACCACACCTGCAGCCCTTTCTGCTCTCGTTATTTTTAACATAGGGTCTTGCTTTTTGCCCTATCTGGACTGGACCACAATCAACCTATTTATGCTTCCTGTGTAGCTGAAATGACAGGTGTGTGCTATCATGCCTAACTTTTTCCATTGAGATGTGGTCTCTCAAACTTCTTGCCCACCCAAGCCTAGAACTGTGGTCCCCCCAATCTCTGCCTCCGGAGTAACCAGAATTACAGGCATGAGCCACTGCCACCTGGCTTGCCCTGTCATTTTGAATATAGCTTACGATAGTAGTCAGTTGGCCACTTAGGTAAGAAATAGAACTTCAGTGGTCAACTCAGAAATAGGTTTCCAGTATCCTCCAAAGATGATAATATATCCCAAAATATATCGTTTCTAGTTCCTGAAAACTGTAAATATTACTTGATTTGATAAAAGGATCTTTGCTGAGGTTATTAAGTTAGGAATCTTTTTTGTTGTTGTCACAGTTTTGGGGTTGAACTCAGGGCCTATACCTTGAGCCACTCCATCAGCCCTTTTTTTGTGAAGGTTTTTTTTTTTTGAGAGAGGGTCTTGTGAACTATTTACCTGGACTGGCTTCAAACTGTGATCCTCCTCATCTCTGCCTCCTGAGTAGCTAGGATTACAGATGTGAGCTACCAGTGCCCGGCTTATGTTATGACTCTTAGAGTATGTTAAAGAAGCATGATCGTGATATTTGTATGCTTTTCTATTTTTATTAGAGTATAAGATGCTTGAGGATAAGGACTGCCTTATTTCACTTCAGAACATATGGTATGGCCTATCCTGAACCTCCAACCAACCTAAACAGTATTCATTAGATATTAAATGAATCAAGGGAGGTCCAGAGGGTAAAAACATAAAAATATATGGATGGGGGGAAAAAAGCCTGAAGGGAACCTGTGGCAGAGTTGCCAAGCAACCAGACCAAATCCTTTGCTTATGCTTAGATTATTTTTAATACCAACTGTCAGAGCCACACATCGATTCTCAACTTACAGACACCTAAACATGCTCTTTTCACATTTTGTTCTCCTTCTCCAAATCACAATCAGTTTATGGTCCAGGATACACAAATCAGGGCCACCTAATCTCTCTCCCTGCAAGGCCAGAAATGCCTCCAGTATGATTCAGTCAGCCTTTGGCAGGATCATGTGCAGTCTGCTGCTGCTAACGTATGAACTCTGTTTTCCTACTTAAAAGCAGAACATTGGTGGAGAACAGGAATAATACACCACATATGTGTTCTGTTTCTATGTTTTGTGAAATATTTGAAAATAAGATGCTATGACACTTGCTCTTAAAATACTTTAGCATGCATCTCCTTAAAAGGACATTTTCAGGCTGGCAGAGTGGCTCAAGTAGTGCCTGCCTACCAAGTGTGAGGCCCTGAGTTCAAACCCAGTACCTCATGTATGAAAATGGAAATATGAGACATGCTGAAACATTTCCAGGGATGTAGGGAGGAGGGATAAAGGAGAATGATAGAGGGGGTGAATTCAACTATGATATATTGTAAGAACTTTTGTAAAGGTCACAGTACAAAAATAATATGATAATAAAAAAGAGAAGAAAAAACAAACCCCACATGACCAAAAAAGGACATTCTCTAATATAAAATAGCATAACAATATAAAAACTTAGCAGTAACTCACATTCTTGCTTGTGACCAACCAATTATTGGTTATACCATCCTTCCTACACAAAAGCTCCATGGTGAGAGAGTGTAGTAGCCAAAACTGCAGAAGACCCCTCAGCCTTGGGCAGGGTGTGGATAAGAGGAACCACGTAGCTTAGTCTGAGGTAGGTCTTCTTTGTAGCCCACCCTCTTACTGTGAGATTTCTCAGTAGGCAAGATTGGCTCTTCCACTGAGCTGGAGTTCACTTAGAGTCTAAGTTGCCAGGTCAGACAAACACTGTGGAAAAGTGTGGAGTCTCGGCTGGAGTGAACAGATACCTAGCATCAGCAGTACCACCTGTGCCATACTTCAGCATAGGAGCAGGATTGAATCTAGGCCCAAGAGAGGAGAAATTCAGACTACCTCCCCAAACCTGGAGGAAAGCCCTGCCACACCCAGGTAGTCTTTGAGGAGGAAAGGAGCTAGGCTGGACTGCAGTTGAGCCTCCCTAAAATCCTCTCTATAGCCATAAAAAACACTTAGAGAAAAACTCAAAGTTCATTTGTGCATGATTTTCCTGTATTATATCCAATGAATCAGAGCATCAGAGAATGCACTGATCCAGTCAAAGTAAGTCCTACTGACGTAAATTTCAAAGAACCCCTAAAAACTGAGTACAGTTTTGAAACTTTATTTACTAAATACTTATAATCCCTACAAAGTACACTTTCAAATATGTGATATGTGATCTATCACATGGGGCTTATAAGAATTTCATGTCTTCTGACATGAAACAATTGTTCACAGATCTACATCAACTTTTTGTTTTGGATGGGGCTAGGGTTTAAACTTAGAGCCTCCAGCTTACAAAGCAAGCACTCTACTACTTAAGCCATGCCTCCAGCCCTGCGTTTATTCATAAATAAACATGTTACATCTCAGGACTGTGGTGATTGGATTCATTAAGTATCTCTCAGATGGACAAGAATGTTACTTGTGTTACAAGCCAATCTGTGACTAGATAAATGCAATATGTTTAAACATTTTACTTGAAATTGTTAGGATATAGTAGAATTGCATGCCAGATACAGAGGCTTATATAACCACAGGCTGAGGGAGACCGCCTTTGTCTATAGGTTACTGTGGTGTAGTCATGAGAGAAGAAAAGAGTGTTGAATGAATTTGTGCATGTGTATGTGCCTGAAGGACTGTGGTAAAGAGAGTTGAGGCATAGGGTCGTGGGGCCTTCATCTTCCCATTCAACGGAGCTTCTCTGCAACTTTGTCCCTCCATCTGAAAGCAGTAAGTAGAACGCAGCACCCCTACATACACACCATACCAGGGTATTTCTTTTTACTTGTCATCCTCCTCAGCCCCAAGCACTGGGGCTGAGCTAGGTGTTCGCAGGCATCCCAAGTACACAACTCAAATTCAGAAGCTAAAGCCAGAGCTGAAAGGAAGAGGATGAGCAAATGTGCTGCATCAGTTAAGACATAGATGGGGCTGGAGGTGCAGCTCAAGCAGTAGAGCGCCTGCTTTGCAAACTCAAAGCCCTGAGTTCAAGCCCCACCCAGTCCCACAAAAAA